TACCTGGCAGTAACAAGCTGGCGCAGGACTCAGAGGTCAGGAGGGAGGAAGTGCGTAAATGTTGCAGAACAAAGATGGCTGTGAACTTTTAACTGCCGGGAGAGGAAGCCAGGCTGTGATTCCCAGGACAACCTGCCGTCAGCAAGAGCCGAAGCAGCAGGAGGAGCAGGAGATCAACGGCAGTCTGGAGGAGCTCGGCGAGCGGCTCAGAGTCAGGGCTAAGGAAATAAAAACTGAATGGAACCTTGCCCGTTTTTCTCCTTGTTGGAGCTCGAAAAGTCGGGCGTCAGAGTCATGAACCTTTAGGGCTGAAGTCAATAATCAGGAAAATGATCGCTCTTAGACCATAAAACTTCACTGATGTCGTCGTCTTTTTTTTTTCTTCTTTTTTTCAATCATTGTCATTGAAAAAGTGGCCAATTCCAGGTCCCCTCATCACCTAGACAACTATTTTTTTCACATCCATTGTTGTGATTCCTACTGAATATTTCCTGGCGTCTCAGCTCCTCTGCAAAAGTTGACTTTTTTTTTGTAACTTTAACTTTGGAGAAAGATAAAAGTCTCCTCACTTTTTGCATCTAAATCCCTGCACTCAGACTCATCCATGGTAAATTTGTTAAACAAAAGCCTTCAGTGACAGAGGCACGAGAAAATGTTGACATTATCAATGAAGTTAAGTGGTTTTTAGTTTATGTTCAGCTTTGTGTGAATTATTTATGAGCACATCTGGCAGCAGCAGTGCCGTCTTTCCTCCTCCTGCTCCTCCTGCTCCTCCTCCTTTCCTCCTTTCCTCCTCCGCTTCCTTCTCCTCCTCACCTGTTGCGGAGCCTCTTATAGTTTTGGGAACTTGCTCTAATTGCTCTTTTCGGCCCAGAACTGATCTCAGCTCAGCCGAGAGCTGCAGCGCTGCTGTGTAATTTTATCCACGCACACGGTCTCTGCGCTTCACACGGTGCTGATACCTTTGCGCGCCCCCCACTTCCTCCACCTCCACCACCTCGCCCCCTCCCCGCCGCACCCCCCTGTCCCTTTGTATCAATTGGTCGGGGAGTTCAGGCTCTATTGTCGCCGCGAGCTTCTTTCATATGTGCGCTCAGTCTGCGCTCAGTCTGCGCTCCAGTCACATCCACAGGAGGGACCTCCAGCAGGAGCAGCAGGAGGAGCAGGCACAGGAGCACGGACAGCGGGGGCAGCAGCCGGCTGTGCTGTCACTCTCTCGGGCTCGCCGTGTGCGCAGTGCAGCCGGAGCTCTCCAGCGTTGGGGCGGGGGCCCCGAGTGATTTTAATGGGATCCCGGGAGCCCGTTAGCAGGAGTTCTCCGTTTTTTCGCCACAGTCGTTGTTCCTCTCCGACCATGCCACAATGCTGGTGAGAGCTCTGCTGGTGTTGCTGAGCCTGCTGCTGGACCCCGTCAGCGCCCGCAGCCGCTGCGCCCGTGGCCAGCAGCCGTGCGACCCCCGGCAGCGCAGGGACGCCGGCGGCCGCGGGGGAGTGTACGAACACCTCGGAGGAGCTCCGCGACGCAGGAAGTTATACTGCGCCACCAAATATCACTTACAGATCCACCCGAACGGGAAGATCGACGGGTCACTGGAGGAGAACAACCCGCTGAGTGAGTATTGGCTGCATTTTACTCCCGGAAAAACTGCCGCAGTGAATCAAGAGTTTTGAGAAAGAAAAAAATAATAATTAAAAAATATATATTTTATAGTTTTTAATTATTTCCTAAATGTTATTTTAAATCACTTTATCAGTGACTTAATCCATCACCTCATGTGTGACTGGCTGTAATTACATTATTGACTTTTTAAAACATGAATCACTAACCAAGTCTGGACCTGTAGACCTCATGTGGCCCCGGAGTTTTGGCCCCTGTTGAGGGTAGAACCTGGTTCTGAACTTGTCGGATCAGTTTGGTTTGATTTGAGCAAATATGAAGAAAACTGTCATGGGAGTTAATTTATTCCTTCTCTGTCCATTTCTTATTTCTTTCTCAACACTGTTTTTATTTGTAATTAAATTACTTTTCCGAAATTAAAAAAAAACCCTAATTGGTCCAGATTAACAGTCCTCACTAACCAGATCTGTGAACCACTGGGGTAAAGTTGGGATTAAGGCTTGATTTGAATAATGGTTGGGTCAACATTAGGGCTGTGGTTAAGGTTAAACCAAGATAAGACTTCGGTTTGGTCTGTTCACATCAACTGGAAAACAAGTGTGTCTCCCGTATGTGTACTGTGTCGCTGCGTGTTCGTGCGTGTGTGTATGTGCGCGCGCGTGTGTGCGTCTGACACGCAGGTTAATCTGCATTACAAGTATCAGTCCGGGCTCAGGACTAACAAAGGCGCTGTCCTATCGGATGTGTTTATCTAATCACAGACCATTAGAGTCTCAATCGCGCTCTCTCTCTGCGTCTTTATGTCTCTCTCCCCTCGCTCTCTCATTGGAGTAATCACGCACTGATTAAGGGCCAATACACACACAGAATGAGGCGCTAACAACGGCGGAAATGAGTTCATTACAATCCACTAACTGTTTCTTTATCCTGCTGTTGGTCCTGGTCGCAGCTCAGAACAATTGGATGTTCTTTTCAACACAGTGAAGAGATGATTAAATGGGAGAGTGTTTGATTACACTGTAGGAGCAGCAGTGTGTGTCCAAGTTTGTTTGTTTGTTTGTTTGTTTGTTGACGGTTGTGTCCATGTTCCCGTCTCTCAGGCATCATGGAGATCACCGCGGTGGACGTGGGCGTCGTGGCCATCAAGGGCCTTTTCTCCGGCCGCTATCTGGCCATGAACGATAAAGGAAGGCTGTACGCCTCGGTGAGTCACAGACACCAGACATTACAACCGACATACACGGCTAGGTAGCAGCAAAACACTTCTGGTGATTTTATTTGACATCTCCACAAGGGGGCGCCTCCATTTTTCCAGTCATTTATTCAGTCTTCTTCTAGCGCTTAATCCTTTTTGGGGTCACATGGCAGCCAGCATTAAACAGCAGCCCCCCCGCCCCCCACTCACACTCACATTCACACCACGATTAACTTAGTGTGAACAATTCACCAAACCTGGAGAAAACTGGGGATCAAACCAGTAAACAGGTGACCGTCTTGATATAAGGCAAGATCACTGACCACTTTACCACCGCGCGGACCATATCCATCGTTACAGGACTTCAATTATTTTTTTTAAAAGATCTTTTGAAAATGTCACTGAAGAGTGGATTGGGTTGGGTCGTCTTTGTACAACCAGGTTGGGGGTTTGATTCTAGCTGCATGTCTTTGTGCCCCTGGTTAAAGTACTTACTTTAACTCCAGTTAGAGGTCATATTCAGTCAGGTTCCTGTTTGATCTGCTTCATCTTTGGACTGTTAACCAGCCGCTGGGACTGAAGAATAAATAATAATAATATTAAGAATATTGAGAATAGTTAAAATAATTCAAGAATACACCAAACCTTATTTCTATCGTACCACTGTCGCAGTAATGTGTAGTATCTAGTATTTGTGCTGCAGATTAATGTGAGATTTTTAGGTGAAACGTCTGTTCTTGTCACTCTTCTTCCTAAAGTTTGACTTCCTAAAGAGTTTTATAACAGCGTTAACATATTCAAACACAAAACTCTAGGGTTGAAAAACAAGTACATTTTACTACAACTCCTACTAGTTACAAATATAAAGAAAACACCACTATATCTATCCATCGTATAAAGATTTTTTTTTTAAGTTTCAGGTTTTTTGCTAATATTTTACTAGTTGCTGATATTTTTTGTTCCTATTTTATGTTTTTTAAAGTGAAGCTAAATGTGTTTATTTTCCAATTCTACCTCAACATAAACTGGAGTCTGGTACAGGCTGCTTGTGGATTAATGCAGCTATAGTAACATTACTTTGTTGGTTTGAATCCTGGGGGTTTTTCTGGTTTAGCAACTGATTTGGCAGCGGTTGTTGATAGTTGACTAATCTTTGATAAGACTTTTGCCTGAAAATGTAAATATAAGTCGTCTTTGTCTTTTTTAAAAAAAAAACTATGGCATTAACATTTTAGGTTATATGTGGTTTTCTGTTTTTTTTTAATACCAAATGACTTTGAACCTCATTGAAAAGTCGTCTTTTGTTTTTTTCTTTATAACCTGACGGAAGCCCAGAGGCAGCCTCAGGTCTGAGGCCTAGAGGGAAGATGTGGTTTTGCAGCTGTAGTTTTTGTCCCTGTGAACTAGTTAATTAATCTGCCGTCAGTTGCTCAACTTCACGGTTGATTTGTAGCTGAGGCCTGTGAGTCCAAGCTCAGCGGAAACACTCAGTGAATCAAAAACACCCACAAGCTGCAGGACAAATGTGGCTCACCCGTCTCCCTTCTTTTCATCTCCCCAGGAAGTGTTCACCAAAGAGTGCGAGTTCGTGGAGCGGATCCACGAGCTGGGCTACAACACCTATGCTTCACGCCACCACTCAACCGAGCAGCCGCTGCCCCCAGGAGGCAGCGGGGGAAACGGCAAGAGGAGAGCCAGTGTTAAACGCCAGTGGTACGTTTCTATCAACGGCAAAGGGCGGCCGCGGCGGGGCTTTAAAACCAGAAGCACGGACAAAGCCTCACTTTTTCTGCCCCGTGTGTTGGGCAACAAGGACCACGAGATGGTGAGGAGACTGAGGGACAGTCAGAGCTCACAGCAGCATCACCCGCACACGCATCATCACCGACGCGAACGGCGAAGGCGCAGGCACCGCTCCCGAAAAGGTGCTGACCAATGACAGGTCAGGACTGTGACCTGCAGGGAAACACTGTAGCTGGACCTCAATGGAGGACGAGCGAGAACAGCCTGGATGCTGCTTTCTGGAATTTTCTTTTCTGTCCACGATTGACGCACATGGACGAGAAATCTGTAAAGTTCAACCAGAGGAGAAACGGTCTCCGTCCACCTGAAGTGTTTGGACACATTTGTATTTGAATTTTCCACGTTTCAGGAGATTGACACACACACACACACACACACAGGATATGTAATCTTCTATTTACTGCTGACTTTGCTACTGTTTGTTGATATATAGATGAACATTTCTATCTTTGGTAAGAAAAAAAAGGACATTTTATTTTGTACCAGCGATCATTTCACTGTGGACGTCACTAAGGGCTCCTGTTGTTGTATATATAGTATGCATGTACAGTACACTGTAGGTTTTTTATTCAAGAGAATATGCTATTTTGCGCCAGTGAAGTGCTAAAAAAACAAACCAACAAAAAACAAAACATAATGGATATTGGACTCATTCAGCAAAGCACTTTTTTGTCAGATTCATGTGGGGGGGGTAGTTCAGGTTTCTTTGATGGGGGTTGGGGTACAAGGTGCTGGTCAATGGGCAGTAATGTAAGACCAGGCAGTGGTCTGAGACTGAGACCAGGACACTGGCTGTCAGAGGAAAACAGGACAAAAAAACGTCATCAATCAAACCCATGGCTAACTTGTATTTGTCAGACACAGTACTCAGTACTTAAAGAATACTTCAACAGTCCAGAGAGAAAATCAAAGATTTAATAACAAAGATCACCAGATTTACCAATCCTGTTCCATCTATGTCCATGGTTCTGGTTCTAGTTCTGACTTTGGCCCAAACATCACAAACCTTCCACGCGAAATACAAGTGGTCCAGTAGCTGCTGTGGCTAAGTGGACACAAATGTTGGTTTTCTCTGTGGAACAGCTCAGAGCGTCTGTGTTTAACAGAAACAAAGACGCGGCTTATGTTTAACAGACCATGAGTGCTAACATAACGAAACACGGCACATACACATCATTGTTGAGCCGGCAGTATGAGTACACTCATATATAGTCAATAGAAAAGCTGTATATGTCCTGATAAAGGAGAACTTGCTTTTTTGAAAGTGGACTCCTCCATTTATTACCTCCTCTGCAACGACTCTGCCCCCTCCTTCCACCCCGAACACAGACACCGTGGGGGTGCAGCTGGTATGATTATGTATTGTAATCCTGACACCTTGTACAACCACACTTCAAAAAAAAAAAAACTGAACTATGCCTTTAAAGAGCAAAGGGTTGGGGGATCCATGTGAGAAGGAATCTGCTGATGTGATTGTCTACTGTCTGTAAACTGAAAAGAAGTACTTTGTATATTTTACTAATGATATGAATATTTATTTGATGCCTCCTGTGTTGTAAGTTATTGAGAAGACTACTCCTGCATTTTTTGTTTCGTCTGTTTCCCAGTGTTGTCGTTTGTCGTATAGTTTTTCATCCGCCACCTGGCTCCATCATAAATGCATAATTACTGACACAAGGAAACGCCATCTCTGAATGTCTTTCTTCCTGAGTTTCTCTCTTTAGTTCAGGTTTTTAAAGAAACAATTACTGATTTCATCCACACAAAAAAAGAAGAGGAAAGAAAAAACACCAAAACTCAATTCCACAAACCACCAACGTGATAACAGAACTGAATTATTTAGGAACAAATATGACCTAGTAGAATTTAGTATTAGAATGTGTCCCGGGGTCAGAAGAAGAAAAAAAAAGATTTCTTAGATTCACAAAACAGAAAGTATTCAGTTTTCATTCGATTTAGACTTAATTTATTTACTTACTTTTGACCTACTCCCAAACAATTGTCAAAGTCAGGACCTTTTCACTCTCTATATCACATGTCAAACTCAAGGCTCGCAGGCCAAATGTGGCCCACCAAGTCATTTTCTGTGGCTCGCAGGAGCTAAAATTAAATTTTTATTTGCCTTAAGTGCTGTTTCTTAACTTGATAAATGAAAAGGTTTTCTTTATTAGTACACAGAACAATGAATAAACAAATAATCAATTGCAGAATTATTTCTATGATTTATTACTACATTATGAAGTAGTTACACATGTAGGGGTACTGTACCACCCCCACTGCCCCGTCTTCCCGTAATTCCCGTAAATTAATATTTTCTGAAACAATTTATCGCAGTGTCTTTAAAGACTCCAGTCCACAGCCTTGTCAACCAACGAGCTAAAGTGTTAAACTGATGTAAAATACTGTTAAACTGCTAAATCACCATGGTGACCCATTACTGACGAACAGGTCTAAAAGTGGTCCATAATCCTGGTCCATAATCCTGGTCCATAATCCTGGTTCAGAGATCTTTATGGTCAAAACCTAATGATGATTTTTTTACCCTGTTTTCACCATGAAGCTTGGTATTTTAAAATACATCTTCTGTACATGGTCCAATATCTCAATGGTACCAAGACACCAGAGGTAAGTCCAGACATGTTGGAGTACCGATGTGTGAATGTCGTGCTGCAGTTCTGGTGGAACGACACAGTTAAAGCTCAAGAAAATCAAATCTTCACAGTGACTCAAATGTCGCCGTAGTCTAGACTGTGACGACGTCGTGGTGAAGCTCAGCGTTTTCCCCCAACAGCGCCTTCAACGAACCGGATCCTTCAAAAAGTATAAGGTACCTTGAAGAAGTTCCGAGTCTCAAAACTACAGTAACAAACACACACGCGTCCTCTCCGCAGTGGAGTTAACGTCCAAAGATGACATCGTCCTCGCTCGTGCAGTATCACGTGTTAGAAAGCTGTATTTGATGGTCGCCGGCCGAGACCTGGGTTGAGTTCTGGTTCTGGTGGGTTCTTTATATTTGAAGTTGAAAGATTTGTTTTTTTCTTGGTCTTTCAGCACCAAGCCTTTGAAAGCAGCAAACAAAAGCATGTTTTGTTTTTTTAGCATCACATGTAAAAAAGTGGGAGCAGACAGAGCTTCTCCATGTTTTCTTCATTCTGCACAGATGTGGCGTTTCCGCCCCTGACACATCTGCTTCACATGATAAGCCCAGATTTACATGTATAATTTGACTGTGAAAACAGATGGCGCAGATGCCGTCAGGGCCGGGTCACGGGAGGATTATTTGCAACTTTTTAGTTCGGCGACACAGCGAGCGTCACACTAACTGTTCTCCGCTCTCTGTCAATATTCCCAGTGAGGATTAGCAGAGAATAGGCCGCTGTGCCATATTTCTTCAGAGTGGAGCGGTGGCAGGCAGGTGTGGGTGTCACACCAACTCCACTTATCACAAGTCGTGCACTCACACGCACGCTTGTTTCTCTAAAGTTGTGAGGGCACAATGCTAATCCCAGCACGATACCTTAACCATAACTATTAAATCTCAGGATTTAAGCAAATTTGAAACTTTAGTGGTTAATCCTAATTTGGATAATCCTCGTCCTGTTGAAGTACTTCAATTTATATTTTAACCTGATGCTCAGGAATGGTCTGTGTTAGTGTGACTTTTTTGAAGTTTATAAATGTTGGTAAATGCTGGTGTCTGTACTTGGTCTGTAGCAAAAAAAATATATTTAATTTATAATATTATTTACATTTACATATATTTCGCATTTCTTGTCATTTTAATCCTATTTTTTTAAATGACACAATAGTCTTAGTAGTGTAAGTATTAGACCTACGGGGGTATTTAAAACAAACAAAATTTCATTAATTATTTACACACATATACACTTTCTTTTCTCTATATAATTGTGAAGACAATAATTGGCCACCTCATAATGCTGTATTCAGTTATACAGCTGAGAATACAGATTATCCTTCCTTGAACCTGAAACCGTACTTTAACCTCAAAAATCCAAGAACGTTCTAAACGTCCTTAAAAGGTCAACATGACTTCACAGTGAAAATGTTGAGCCACACCAAAAAAACAACTCCACATTCTAATCCAGATCTCTTATCCTTAATCTTAATCTTAATTTAACCTGAGGTCTAACGAGGGCCGACGTCTGAGGACCAGGTCCTCAGATGTTCAAAAACCAGCCCATGTCCCCACAACCCAACAAAAACATGTACACACACACTCTCACCCACACTCTCCCCATTGTCTTTCTCCCCTTTCATTTGTTGTCAAGTGCACACCTGTCGCAGCACAAATGTAAAAAACGACAAGTGTCAATGCAAAATTCATCAGGAGTCGCGTTGGAACCTGCTGGATGTTCAGGTTTGGCCTCGCCTCGCTCCTGTCTATAGGTAGCTGCATATAAAGCCCTGTCATTCTATACCTGCGGGTTTGGGGAGGCTTCCTGGGCCGGACAATAGCTCCTCCCAAGGGGGGCCTGGGAAGCGATGCCGCCTGAGACTTTTGGGCTTTTTTTTGAAATGCCGACCAAAAGCAGCAAAGTCAATAAACAAGGCAGGCCCTCTTGAAAGCAGAAACTGTGTCATACAAAATGTAACACCTTGTTATGAATGCCTAACTCTTAGATTACTCAACAGGAATGCTGGGCCTTAGAGGGGCGAGGGCCTTCATGTGGGCCCTGCCCCCCCCCCCCCCCCATCTGTTTTAATTCAACCACATTTATTTTACTATCATCAACCTCCATCCTTTCATGTCCACGGAAGGATTTGGTCGACAGTTAGCATTCAGAAAGAAATGGATGTAGCAAAGAGCGGACCGACAGGACGACAGAACGACAAACACAGGAGTCGGTTGAAAGTTAGAATCCAACTAAAACGACCGAGTCTGGTTAATGAGAAACGACAGAATCAAGATGGAACCCGGAAGTGGATTTTGCCGATTATCGTATTTTAAGTCGCACTCTTTTAAATCCTTTGGCTGGGTTTGTGACTGAAACTCAGGTGCGACTTATACATTGAAATATATAATTTCAC